AGCTGTTCATTTCCAAGACACCCTCAGCTGAAAACTGATGAATGTTGCTCCTTCTCTCTAAATGTGGACTCAAAACTTAAGGCACCCATTTGAGTTCTTTTCTCTATTGCAGCATTTTCCTTTCTGCTGCCTGGAGCCTCTGTAATCATTTCTGCTCCAAAGAAAATGCAGAAACACATGTTTCAACCTAAATGGAGGCCCTTCATCCTTCAGTTTAGCACTTAGCTCCCAGTTCTCAAGTTTTCTCCTTCACCAGTGCATCCAGCTCTGCAGCAGACAAGTTTCCTTTTCCCACCTTCGACCATGTTACAGACCATGTGCCACCAGCCCAGTCCAGTCCAGTGTATATGACCAATGAAAAAAGTAGAGTAAAATAGAATATACAGACAGTTTGATCATCCCATGTTCACAGACACATACACAGGAGGTCAACAGTTTGAAGTCGGGCGAGGGGAGAAGATGAGGACCATGTCTCTCTACAACTGTGAGTTGTTCTGGTTCTGCTCCAGTATACATGACAGCGTTCACAATCATCTCCCAGTAGTGGACAGAGGATGGGAATGATGACTGCTTATTGCAAATGTCACCAACAGTGAGCTTCACCGCCTCATAGCACAAAGTGAACAATAACAGAAACACGACTAACACGGGTCAGAGTTATGTCTGATTCATGATGCATAGTATAATTATTAAAGGTCAGTCCAGAGACACGGATACATCTGACACGTTCAATGTTTTCATCAACTCACACTGAATTAGGGGGTTCATCCAACAGGAAATAAAAACGCTAATGTTCTGAACGTTTCAGGGAGCATCTTCTGATGGTGTTCACATGGTGTTCTGATGGTGCTCTGATGGTGCTCTGATGGAGCTCTGATGGTGCTCTGATGGTATTCTGATGGTGTTCCGATGGTGTTCAACTATAGACACCATTAGAAGCACCCACACCTGCCCCCACCCTCATTCGTCCAACTCTGGGCCCTTGAGCAAGGCCCTTAACCACCATCTGCTCTTCCAGGTGTCTGGTGTTCTGATGGTGTTCTGATGGTGCTTTGATAGTGCTCTGACGGTGTTCTGATGGTGCTCTGATGGAACTCTGATGGTGCTCTGATGATATTCTGATGGTGTTCTAATGGAGCGCTGACGATCTTCTGATGGTGCTCTGACGATGTTCTGATGGTGCTTTGATGGTGTTCTGATGGTGTTCTGATGGTGCTTTGATGGTGTTCTGATGGTGCTTTGA